AAAAAAAAAAAAAAAAAAAAAAAAAAAAAAAAAAAAAAAAAAAAAAAAAATCAATAGAAAGCTTTTACTATAATTAGAGGGCAAAGTTGAATGTAGAACGTTTGAACATTAAAAAAAATCTGAATATCTGAGAGGAAAGCCTGTCATGTGGAATGTGCCTTCACGCATCTGGTGTTAGTAGAATTGGGTTGGGGTTCAGACTGATGAACTGTGGAGAAAAAGGAAAACTGAGATGTATGTGAATGAGTATGTTTTGAAGCTGACTATCCTTGCCATACGAATACATAACATATTCACTGTTGATTTCAGGGCAAAAAACTGAATTTTATTTTTTTTTTCTTTTACGAGAAGCAGGCTTGTCTGACCTTGAATATAGTCAATTCATTAAAGTTAATAAAAAAAAAAAAAAAAAAGGCAACATTCCATTTTCCAAATACTTTTCCAGGGGAGAAAGCATGCATTTGTGCTAACAACTTGATAGTGTGATCATTGCATATTTACAAAGGAAAATTAATCCGCACAGATGGTCTAAAAACTTGTATTTCTTAGTGTTCTTGGATTTTAACACAATTTCTTTTTCAAGGAAGATTGAGAAAGTAAAATTTTCTATCCCATTAAGCAATGATATTAACTGTAAGAGTAAACAATAATTAAAGGATTTTTTGTAACTTGCTAAGTCTCACTTTTCATCACAACAGTATGTAGGAATTCTGTTCTCAGTCAGCCAGTTCCTCCAACTCTTTTTTACCTGCTTTGAGCTACACAGGAACTAATACTGTCCAAGACAGTGGCTGAAAATGTATCTTAAGTTTCACACACTATAAACCATCAACACTGAAGAGGTAAATGTATTTATCACTGGTAAAGGGTATAGCTAAGGGAGAAAACATTTTTGGAAGTAACATGCCTTTGTGCATTTTAATTTTTAAACCAAAATGAGGAGCATTTCATATTTAAGTAGATACTGTTCAGGAATGGAGGATATGGTGGGTTGACCTTGGATGGATGCCAGGTGCCCATGCAGCTGCTGTATCACTCCCCTCCTCAGCAGGACAGAGAGGGGGAGAGAAATAAGATGAAAAAACCCCACTTGTGGGTCAAGATAAAAGCAGTGTAATAAAGGCAAAGGATGTGTATGGAAGAAAAGAAAAATGGTTTATTCTCTCCTCCCCATTGGCAGGTGATGTCCAGCCACTTCTCTGGAAGGAGTGTTTCAGTACATGTAGTGGTTGCTTCAGAAGACAAACATTGTAATAACAAATGCCCTCCCTCCTCCTCCTTTCTCTTAGCTTTTATTGCTGAGCAGATGTCATATGGTATGGAATATCCCTTTGGGCAGCTTGAGTCAACTGTCCTGGATGTGTCCCCTCCCAAGATTTTGCCCACCCCTAGTCTGTTGGTAAGCCCGGGGTGGGGGGAAAGGAAGGAACAGCCTTGATGCTGTGCAAGCACTGCTGAGCAGTAGCCAAAACACTGGTGTGTTATCAATGCCTTTCTAGCTACTACTACAAAGCACAGCACTAGAACAGCTGCTATGGTGAAAATTAGCTCCCTCTCAGCCAGACCCAAGACACAGGGATACCAACTCAATTAATATAAATATATGAAATCTCATAGTTACCTGAATAAAGTTTTTTTCATTACTTACTTCTCCAAAAAGCAAGTGTTTTCATTACTTCCTTGATTTGCTTCAACCAGATGGATAGACCAACCTGTACCCTAAAAATACCTAGACACCAGAAGAAAGAGTTCAGTTATTTAGATAACAGAAACAGAAGGAGCATAAGGTTAAACTTGTATTCAGTTCCACAAGAACTAACTTTCATACCTTATCATCCCTTCCCTGACTTGGTGGAGCTCCAAATAAGCACAAATAACCCCATTTTGCCTGCACTTTAAATGCTTTCAGAGAAAAAAAAACCACAAAGTCACAAAGCATCAGCTACCTTGGATTTAAGAATTATTTTTTTCCTCTCTGTGCAGAATATAAGGAATTCTAGACAAAGCTTTCAAAATTCACCTAGTGTCACTAGTGTCACAGCACAGATAACTCTAAATGTAGAAGATGTATGTTTAGTTGACAAAAGGGAGAGGGGACAAAATGAAGCTTATGCTGTAGTGAGTTTGAAACCTTATTTTCTCTCTTTCTGTCCTGGAAGGAAAGCTCAGGATCCCTTCAAGCTTCACAAATCTTTCAGGTAAAGTCCCTACGACAGATAAAAGGAAGCTAGTGTATTCTGTTGAACATGAAAAATCCCCAGATGTTTTCTCTAAACTTGGAGAGCACAAGTCTGAGTCACTATCTGGGGTCAAAGCACCCCTTTTTCTGTTTGCCATAATACCCTTCAGTCAGAACATTAACTCCAGGAAAGAGCTTAATACTGATGTATCTGCAAGCCCATTCTACTGTTGTACAGAGACATATACAAGGCTCAACTGAGCCAACTTTTAAATCCCTTGAGAAAGAGAATCAACTAATGACATGTCACAGAAGAGGAAACTGAGATATGGCAAAAGGTGTATTTTACTATTTTAATAATAATTTATACACAAGTATGTAACTTTATAAAAAGTAATAATAAATAATAAACCTATTTTAAGATTTTTTTTCTGGACAAGGAAGTGCAATATGCATGAAAAGATGCAGGCTGGCAAATTTTAGTTAGAGTTTAAAAGATAGGATGAGTATAAAAGATGAAAGATCTGTCAGGAGCTGGCTAGTGGGGAGATCACAATAGCAGAACTGAAAGCTCAGAAGTTACAAACCCTTTATAGATAACATCAGTGTTGGGTCTCATTGTATGTAGTATTTTCATTAACAACAATAGCACAAGCATTAGGAGAGTGCTTATAAAATTTAAAAATAATAAGAGGGCATCATCAATAAAGGGGAAAAATTGAAATGTCTGGTATGAAAAACAATGGATAAACCTAAGGGTTGAAATAAGAGAGTGAAATTAAATTTAGCTATACCAATTAGTAGCCCATCATCCCGATTGTAGGGAGTGCTGAAAAAGCTCCTTCAAAAGTCACTGAAAACATAGCACCTCCCCTGCTTCATTTTTTTCCACCTCGGTTAGACATCTACCTTACAATTCACCTCAGCAGACAGTAATAAGAAACTTATGGTGGAGGTGCACTATTTAGAAATTATGAACGATTTGATAACAGTAATGGCCTCCCAAAATTATATAGTCATAAAAATCCCATAATACCCATTCCTGATCACACTTTCATTAAGGTAGACAGTTTTACAAAAAGGTATATTGACAAAGCTCTAGGAAGTTCACATCTGGGATGTTGTGTACCCCTACATTCCAGATGGAGGAATCCAAGCCAGAAAAAGCTCAGAGAAACATTCGTGTTTGTGGGTGAGCTCTACAGCCAGGAGCAGGGGAGCAGCTCGCAGAGCACAGAAGGCAGGTAAAGCTACAGCAGTTGTTTCAGCAAGGGTGTTAAAGTTGCCCAGAACCTGCACTGAGGAGTATGCTGTCATAGTGATGACACGCCACGTGGTGCAATCTTCATCACGGGGTGCAGAAACTGCCCCTGTGAATAGCAAAGACAATCCACACGTAGTTCCAGAGGAAGGATGCTGCAGCCCAGGTCTCTGGCTGCAGGGCTTGTCTGGTGCCTCTCCCTGGGGCTGTGGACTGCAGTGGCCTTGCTGGTGGAAGCTATGCTCTGGCTGTGGATCTGAGCTGCTGGTGAAGGAGCTGCAGGAGGTGCTAAGGAGCCAGAAGGATGAACAGGAAAGAGATTGACGGGGACTTTACAGAGTTGAGGACCACCCAGACCCTGTGCTGCAAAGGAGGTGCAACTTAAAGACTATCGTACAGGAGCAGTGGATGGAGACTCCCACAGGAGGGAAGGATGGAAACCTGCTGCTTTCAACAACACAAAAGGGCTCCTTTTCCACCCGCAATTCTGTCATTACAGAGCAGGTACAGTACCCTGGAAGAAGTGCATGGAAAAAGATAGTGTATAAATGAAGAGCTAAGAAAACCAGGCCACGGGTAATAAAAGGTGAGGCTGGGACATGACATTGAATGGGACTGAAGATATAAAAAGAACAAAAGTGCAATTGGGAACTGAGAAATGAACAGAGAGCAGTTAAGCAAGGAGATGGCTAAGACTGGGAAAGGATGATTTGCCACAAGGACATGAGTATGGATCCTCAAATTCATAGCTTGAAGAATGTAATTAAATAATAATTTTAAATTAAATAAATTTAAATTTAATTTAAAATTAAGTAATGTTATTAACTAATAACTCTTATTTTCCCTTTTTCACCATCTCAGGGTGCGGTTGTCAGCCCCTTGCCTTGTCTCTTTCTATCCTGACATGGCTGTTTCTCCCTGAAGGAATTCCTGTGACCACACTGATTTTTCTGCTACAAATCTTGTCTCTCCCATTTCTTCCTCTTCTAGTTAAACAGCTCAAATATTTCCTTGACTTAATCAAATCCTCCCACACATTAGACTGTAGCTGCCCTTGACTCACTTTTCTCTTCTCTTTCCTCCCCTATAATTCTCTCCTCCTCTGTCACAGAAACGTTTGTGCCTGTTCTCATATGCCTGCTTCCTCTAGCACCTCTTCTTCCCATACCACAATTTAATCTCCTCCTGGTCATTTGTATTCCCCTATTTTCTACTTTTCTCCTGAGAAGGCTTGTTCTTTTCATCATGTCAGTATGCTTTAGTTTTCCTATCATAAGAAAAAAGCAACAACAGCCTTTTGTGTCTCCACCTATTCATCCCCTCTTTTATATTCATCCCAGCTTCCAAAATGTGGTGCCCAGGATTAGTCTTTAGAGTTCCTATCCTCAGATATATTTCTCTTCCTCCTGCTTCCCCATCTGTCTGGATCTATATATGTTTACTTCTATAGTTCTCCCTATCCACAGACATAGAAACAAGTCAATCAAGTGTATCTTCTCCATTGCTTTATAATACTGTGATCACTGGGAGTTAAAAGCAGAAAGTGAACCTAAACTGTCTTTTCATATTCACAGTGCAGAGGTATCCTGTAGGTTATTTCAGGATTCCTATAGTGATTCAGAATGCTAACAAGGACTAGGGGAAAAGGAGGATTTATAACTTTCTTTTTCCTTCTCTATGTTGGGATTTTGAAAGAAAGAAAACAAGGAGAGATATAACATCAGAGAGAGTCATGGGAGTTCAATATGACATTGTTATTAAAACAGCAAAACCATGAATGGAGCTATGAACACCTGATGGAAGAATGATAAAAAGATAAAAGTATTTGCTTCAAAAGCTAAAGACAAAGTGTGTGTCACAAGGTCTAGCTTCCACAGTTATATAGATGTATTTTTAGAAAATAATTATAAAAAAGTGCATATGCAAAACATGGTGAAGGCAGGACATAGTATGTTTCATATCTCTGTATCAGGATATGTCAGCCAAACGAGACACAGAGGGAATAATCTGGCTCAACAGAAACACAGATGCAGTATAATGTATTGTTATTTTGAACCTCAGCTTTCATATCAGACCATAAAATATTTGTTATCTTATCTCTATCACACACATCTTATTCTATGTTTCTGTACTTCTCCCTGTGTGGTAGTTTCATGGTTCAATGACCTATAAAGGAGCCTACTGGAGCATTCTAGACCATGGAGGGAAGGGATGCCATTCAAAAAGACTTCAACAGGCTTGAGAGGTGGGCCCATGTGAACCTTGTGAAGTTCAACAAGGCCAAGTACAAGGTCCTGCACATGGGTTGAGGCATTCCCAAGCACAAATACAGGCTGGGTGATGAGTGGATTGAGAGAAGCCCTGCAGAGAAGGACTTGGGGGTATTGGTGGATGAAAGACTGACTATGAGGCAGCAATGTGCGCTCACAGACTAGAAACTAACCATACCCTGGGCTGCATCAGAAGTGTGGCCAGTGAGTCAAGGGAGGTGATTCTCCTCCTCTACTCCGCTCTCATCAGACCCCACCTGGAATGCTGTGTTCCACTCTGGGGCCTCCAGCATAAGAAGGATATGGACCTGCTCGAGTGGGTCCAGAGAAGGATCAGGGGGTTGGAGCATGTCCCCTATGAAGACAGGCTCAGAGAGTTGGGGTTTTTCAGCCTGGAAAAGAGGAGGCTCCAGGGAGACCTTATAGTGGCCTTCCAGTACTTAAAGGGCCTACAGGAAAGATGGGGAGGGACTCTTTATCAGGGAGTGTAGGAATAGGACAAGGGGTAATTGTTTTAAACTGAAAGAGGATGATTTAGAGTAGCTATTAGGAAGAAATTCTTTATTGGAAGGGTGGTGAGACACTGGAACAGGTTGCCCAGGGTAGCTGTGGATTCCCTCTCTCTGAAAGCAAAGGCAGGTTGGATGGAGCTTTGAGCAACTTGATCCTAGTGGAAGGTGACACTGCCCATGGCAGGGAGGTTGGCACTAAATAATGTTTAAGGTCCCTTCCAACCCAAACCATTCTGTGATAATCCTAGATTCTCTTCTGGTATACAATGTCAAGTTTCCAATAGAGTCAATGGAGATACCTAATTTTATACTAGGTGAGGAACCAGCCCTATTATTTGAAAATTAATCCATTTTTAATAGGTAGGTTGCAGAAATGCATTGATATTTTAAGTTGGTTAAAACATTAAACAGGAAGGACACGGATTCTGCCAGTATAAAATCCTCATTAGCTAGCCAGAATAGGCACTTTCCCTTCAAACGTCTATTTTTTATGGTTTGCTGGGTTCTCTTCTGATATTAGAATCAAAGGAAGAGGATACTAGGAGGTTTTCATACTGTATAAAAATCTCATAACTACTCATGTACTGATTGTTTGAGGTCCTCCTCCTTGTAAAGATACAAAAACACTATAGGAAATTCTGACAACAAATCAGGTTACACAATTATTGGAAAACCTGACACTTCCCTGCATCTCTATCTTTGGAAGGAGTAACGACCAAAAAAGAAGTGAATAAGAAGTCTCTTCTGGCCAGCTGAATCATAAGACACATGACAAAAGCTCTCTAGATGAGCAAAAGCTTTTGCCTCCCCCAAGGCATAAATGTTTTATTTTTCATAAGGTCTTTAAATCAAGCGCTTCTAGTGCATGTTGCATCAGTGTGAGTGAATACCCAAAGTGCAAAACCACAAACAAGAATCAAGAACTTTAAGCACTGTTAATATGAGAAAATTTAAATACCTCTCTGTCATGTCCAGAGCTGCTGGGCCAGGTAGGTCCTATGTCACATCTTCTGGAAGTGTCAGTTAAAAAAGCTTCCCCATTTCCACTTCCATCTCTCACAGCTTGTCCAGACGGATAGTTGTCTAAGAAAATGGGACATTGAGCATGTATATTGTCAAATCCTATTTGAAAACTCAGATTTGCATTGCTTCTTTCCACATTTGAATCAAATGCATTTATGACTGGACTAACACTGTTTCCTCCGTAGAGTTCTCTCTCTTGACTGTAGGGATCTGCCAGAGAGAACTTTCTGTAATCAGACAGTAAAGAATATATGAAGCCAACCATTGGTGACACTGTGCCTTGTTGCCAGTGAGAGATGGAATTTTCAGGATAAATTTCACCATAAGCAACTAGAGGCTGACCATTAAACTGCTGGTCAGGCACATTCAGACCAAAGACATCTGGTGGGAAAAAAATTTCTTTGTGATGGTGTGAATGTGATGAATCATAAAAAATATAAAAAATCATTGATGACTTCAGCAACTATTTGGTTGAATACTAGACAGACTTCTCCAGCAGAACTGGAATGGTACATTGGGTAAGATGCTTGGTTTCCAGCCTGTCCTTCATGAAATTTGTTGTGTGAGAAAGGCACTGTCCCAGAGTATGCCATGATTCTTCTCTGCAGTCTTATTAATCCTCAGGGAAGTCTTACAATAGTTCCAAGACCAAAAGAGTAATGTTCAGAACTGGATCTACATACCCACTGAAATGAAAACAGAATAAAAGTTAAACCCAAAAATATCTAGTATAATGAAAGGAGTACACTTCTTTGATCTTTTTTTGCTTTAGAGCTTTTTCCACAGGGTGGAAATATTTACTTACTCTAGAGCCTGACTATTATTCTCCCTGATCCTTATTTCCAGGCATATTTATTATTAAAAATTAATGTAATATTCTTAAATAATAATAATAAAAATAATAAAAAATTATTATCCTGGACTCCTAAATAGCAGTAACAAGATAGCTGAAACAATTGATTTAAATACTAAGATAGTAAATCTGACAAATGTTTAAGAAAATCTCCACAATATTTCCATTATTTTACACTCATATAGCACACTTAATGCAGGAATCTAAAACAAGAATGTAAGGAAAGCTTTGTATTAATGGTCACTTTAATGGCATTTTTATTCACTCCTTCTTCTTTTTCTGTGCCTCAAATTTCTTCATTTTCTACCACTTTTTATGCTCATGTAATCAGGTGCAGAAACATAAGTCAAAGAACATAGACGACACAGATCTCCAATTAATATTCAAAACTACACCCCAAGAGCTTGGATATGGCATAAAGGAAAACAAATACAAATAGATCGATTTCAGCCTTTTTTCTTTCTTTGTTTTTCAAAACAGATATATCTTGAAACCCTGAGGTTGCATCTTTTTAATTAAATTAACAAAGGGCAAGAGCTTCTGCAGATCACCATCATTCATCTGTTACTAGCAAACTTCCTGATATGATTTTGATCTGTGTCAAGTAGTCCTATGGTTCAGATGGGCAGCATGTACTGTAGACTGCTATCAGTAGAAATGAGGGTATCTTTTTCAGGAATAGAGTTTAGTTTGAAAACCGGAATCTATTCTAGGCCACTTGCCTTCAAGGCCTTGGTCTGTTTCATTTACCAAAACAAATGTAGCCCTAAAGCACAGATAATACAGAAGAGCAATACTACATGTAAAGTATACAGTTGTGCTGAGTACTTCATTGCATAAAAGAAATAGAAACATCTGACTTAATCATTCAATTAAAAAAAAAAATGTATTCTCTAGCAGGAAAAAAAAAAAAGGTATTGAAATAAAGTGTGCTTAGAACTAAAGCTTAGCTCCACAAAGAGCTTTTCCAATATGTCCCCAAGATCTATAGTATATTAGTTTAAATAATAGTACCTTGCAATGAAAATCTGTATTACAAACAGAAAGTATTCATCACAGCTTTATTTTTGTTTCATTTGAAGTTAAACTCTAGGTGACATAGGCTTCTGTCACTCACAGTGAGGAATGAGAAGAGAAATGAAAAGTTAGATAGGCTGAAATGAAATCTCCAAGTTAGAGGCTGCACTCCTCTTTCAAGCACTCAACTTAGTGCTTCCATGTGTTGTGTGCTTTGCTTCGCTTTAAACATAAAGCATTCATAAATGCTTTAAAAAAAAAAAAAAGCATTTACGAAGTTACACTAAGCAGATAACCAAAATGATGCACACCACTTTGAACGGTGAGCTAAGCAATTCAGCAGCTTCAATTACAGTCTCTGCACCTTTCTCTGAGTGAATCCTGAAGTCCACCAAGTTTTTAGATTAAGATGACACCTTACACCTTTTTTTTCAGAAAAAAAGAGTCATGGCAATAAGGATCTTTTTTTTAGTGACGTTGTTTTCATTTACAACTTCCTCTGTTTCTCATTTGTACAGTAGGTAAATAAAAGAAAGAAAACAAATAAGAAAAGGATATAACCATTAAATCAAGAAAGATGATGTATTTTATTCTTCTTTTTTTCTGTCTTGAAAATTGGAATGTTTCAGGAGAAATAAAATAATGATATCGCCCTCCAGCCCCATCCTCCTTAATGAAGTTTGGCTGCCTGGAAGACCCTAATCGAGGCACAGAAAATACAGTATCTTTTACATGCTTTCAAATCCTTCTAAAATATTTTTCTTTAACATTTAAATACTGTTCATAATGACACATAAATGTCTAACAGCTAACCTTGCTCATTCACTACTAAGACTTTTATGTGTAGCATTCCATATTTCTCTGACAAATATCCACACAGAGTCCACCTCCATCTATACATGTCAACGCCTACCTCCCACACTCTCCATACTGTTCAAGAAAAGTATTGCTTTCCTAGAGGCCTTTAAAAGCATGCAGTTTAGTTATAGTGCCAAAGGCTGGTCTGTGCGTTGTGCTCCCCTGTTCTCCTCAGTGTGCTGGGAAGTCCCCCCGAGTAAGGAGAAGATCTGCACAATGCAGCTGAGTCATGGCAAAGGGAGGGCCTGGCAGGGAGCACACACTCTTACAGCACTGTGTTAGCAGGGCCAACTCTTGATGCTTTTCAAACCAGCATACAAAGTTCAGGAAAGTATTTGACCCTTTGCCAGCCACTATTACCCCATATGAATTGTGCAAAGTGCATTGATAATAGTGAATTTTCAAAAATCACTAATGAGGCAAGATTTATAATTTTTTTAAAAAAAGTTTTTAGGTTAATTTTCTTTGCCTTGTAGTTTCTGAATTCACATTTTGGAGGGTTTGGCGCTTTTTTTTTTCCCTATGGGGGATTACGGGGGGCTACAAAGCTCTCCTTTTCCTTTCAAATGACAGCAGTGTTTTCACGTAATCATGTGGTTCTGGGATTAGGGGTTTAAGGGACAATCCCAGCATACTGTAAAATATACACTACAAATGAAGAGATTTGACAGCATCACACAATGCTCACAACATTGTAGTTGCCATCCAAGCACACAAAAATACTTTCCTTACTTCAGCATGCATATGCATTATAGTATGAAAGCTTGGTGCACTGTGGGCTCTATTTTTCTTTTTTACAAAAACCCAGGAGGAGACGATTGGGCCACTTGCTCAGCAGCAAAAATATTTGTTGCAACCTCTTGCCTGAAACACATAATTTGTTAGAAGAACATACAGTCTCCTATGTCTTCCTATTCACAGACACATTCAGATGACCTATGTGCTTTCAGTATCAAGGTGATGTAACTTTTTCATCAGAAACTTTCCTTCCTGCTTAACCGGTTTACTGCAGCAATGATTCTATCCCAGGTCTTCCTTCAGGGAAATTTCAAACGGCAGTAACAATAAAAACGTAACACTTTATCTGTACTCTTTACAATTTGTGAGCCCAACCCTTCTCCACTTCCCCCCCCCCCCCCTTTAAACATGGTGGTAGGTGATCTCACCCTTTCAGTGCAAGTATCAAACATGCCTGAAACAACAAGACAAGATTTCTAAGCGAAAGACTTGCCTCTTAGAAAGACTTCTGCAAAAGAACAGGATTCAAAAATTTTACTTTACTCCACGTAGTTTATGTCTATCTGTGCTGGTGGTGAATGCTCTGAAAGGAGCTCCTAGCTCTTCTTGCAGGATAAGGTAACAGCACAAATCTGGCACAGCAGAGAGGCCCTCTGGCTTTGAATCCTCTGTGGGTAGAGCTGGGACAGTCTAAGGAGGGAAGAACCACCCTTATACTGGGATATTTCCCAAAGACTGATGAAGCCTTGCCCTTCTGCAAAGGGCTTGCTGAAGAGCTGGAGTAAATACAGCACTAGTCACAAACATCTTCCTAGACCTCAAGAAGACCAGGATCCTCCATAAAAGGAGGCAGCAGAGGCTGCTCCAGGCACAACAGAGGGAGTTCCCTCAGGGATCATCTGCCTTCATGCTTCCTACCATTCTTTAAAAAGGTATAAATTGCTCCACTGAGGTGGCTATTCAGAATTCATACAAAATCTCAATCCTAGTCTACACCGAGGTGGTTGCAGGCAGGAAAACTTCCTCAAAAATAGTGTGGGAGTCAGTATCAGCAAAACAATATTTGAGTTATAAAAAGCTATGCAGTAAAACCAAACAGATTAGGATAAATCATTTAAAGTTAATAATTAATCTCAGATATTTTATATCTGATAAACTGAATGAGTAATAATTTGATAAAGTATTACAGGGAAAATTCTGCCCTTCAAAGTTTAACAAAAAGCTGTCAATGATGTCATTGTGATTTAAAAGCAGTTAGCCAAGGACAAAACTTATTTCAGTTGGTGAAAAGTGATGCATTGTTTTCTCATATATTCTCCAACCCTTAAAAAGTCAACTTGCTCCACAAACTATTTGGTGGCATTTGTGCTGTACTGTAGTCCTTACCCGTGATTACTGTGAAGCAATCCTAAGAGAGAACACTCCTATTTTAGGAGCTGCCATTTCAGAGTATATGGCAGTGTGATGTTGCCTCATCTGACAGTGACTGAACACAGTAAAAGGAGGATGATCGAGAAAACAGGAAATATGCATGGAAAGAGCTCCTATTCCCAAGGAAACACAGACGGCTGTATGCGTAATATGAACTGAGCTGGGACACATCCCCCTCTCTCCTTACAGTGATTTCCATGAGAAGGTTATGAAGGTTTTTCTTGGGAAACTCTGAACATTTTCAGGATTTTATTAGGCTTTTAAAAGTGGCATCGAAGTAATAGGCAGGAAACTGCAGAGTCACTTTCTACCCTAATTCCTCCTAATACTGCCAAGAATTGTCGTCTCCTCTTTTGCTGGCATGTGGGACAAAATCTCTACAGACAAAGAAAACTGGATACTCCCTGGGATGCCTTCTGTTAGATACTCTCGATGCTCCACCAACTGGCAGGAGCCTACATCTCATTCAGATTAAAGAAGAAACGTGTTCGATTTAGTCATGTGTGAACGTGCTCATATGAGCCAGGTCTGATTAAAAGCTCTGAGTTGACATAGCGCTTAGGGATATGGTGTAGCTGAGAACTGTCAGTGTTAGGTCAAGGGTTGGGCTAGGCGATCTTCAAGGTCTTTTCCAACCTAGATGATTCTGTGATTCTGTAAAGAGCTATGAAAACAGTGCTCTAACACACCCCAAGA